CAGAGAGATAGAAAAGAAAGCATAAAAAACAAAAAAAGAGACGAGTGCTACAGCGGTGTTTGCTTCGTAAGAGAATAGAAATCATGATCGAAAAAATCTACCTTCTTCCAGTTCTTCAGTTCTTCTAAAACACTTTTTCCCTTGGCTTTAGTCTAGGGTGTTACAAAATGGTTGTCTGTGCGCAAAATACGGAAAAACGGCTAACATGCATGGATATTCTGTGGATAGGCCAATCATAAAGGAGAAAAATAGAAAATTATTTTTAACTACGAGAGTGAAAATATTCAAAGAGATGACCTGAAACATCTACTGATGCAGAGAAAGAAAAGCTAACCAAACTTTTTCCGCAGTTCTGTGATAGATGTCGCAAGAAATCAGTTAACTTTGATAACGCAAAAAAAAGTCGTCTACGGATAGTGAAACTTACAGAATATAGATAATATATCATAGATCCAGAGCTCTGTATGGAATGGAAATTTTTTGAATTCATCGATCCGGGCTGGACTGGACTTAAACTTTCAAGAACTTATTCGCGTTTGGAAAAAAGCTCGATTAGAAAATTTGCTTCTCTTTTTCTTTTCCGGACATCCTGCAAAGATGATCCCTAAACACCATGTTCTTTGTAAATGGCTGGTACTAAATCAAAACGATTTAGTAAAATAGGAACGAAAAAGAAATAATTCCACTTAATATTTTCAAACATATTATATGTTTGAAAATACCAAATTGAGGTTTTATTGCTTCAAATGTTATTACAAGTCTCACATCTTACCATTAGACCATACCAGCTCATAATTCTAAGGTTAAAAATAATAGTATAGTTGAGCAGCACGTTATTGAACTACTGAATTGAGATTTTGAAAGTTGTATAACTTTTGAACAAAAGCGAATTTGATGATTCTGTTTTCACTTTCTAGAGGTAAAAAATTGCGCTCTTTCCGAATTTAATATTTTTAAGCGCTGACTGAATGATTTGAGTGTATGTACATACAATTCATTCAAAAAAAAGGAAAAACATTCGTTGCTGAACAGAAAATCGTGCTTCTTTGAGTTGGGAAGCATTTTTCTGAGATTGAGTCTATGAGGAAGAATGTAGAGAATCCAATTCTATACATGACTGAATACCCTTAGAAGCATGTAATTTTGCCAAAAAACACTTCGTTTCCTAGATAAATCGTTTTTAATGTTTTCCTTCATAAGTATCAGCGTTATTTCTGCTAAAACAACTCCGAACTAATCAAATTTTATACTACTTAATGAATGTAATACTCCAGAGCTGTTTTAGCAGAAATAACACTGATACTTATGAAGAAAAACATTAAAAACGATTTATCTAGGAAACGAAGCGTTTTTTGATAAAACTACACGCTTCTAAGGGTATTCAGTCTTGTGTAAAATTGGATTCTCTACATTTTTCCTCATAGACTCAATCTCAGAAAAATGCTTCCCAACTCAACGGCTGTATACGTTGTCTCATTCTTTTTTTCTTCAAAAATTTGACTTATCACAAACGACCGTATACGACTGTCGTAACTTCATCCTATTTCATCGTTTACATGGTATCGTTTCCATACACGTATACGATCGTCGTATTTTGACGTATTTCAGCGCAAACGATCGTATCGCATATATATAAGTTGCTCCCTAAAATATTCTTATGCAATACCAAAACGAACAGAAAAGGTTTAAAAGCTTTAAATGGTTTTGATCAAACCATTAGACCTTTAGCGTTTACTGCTATTTCTTATGTGACATGCAGAACTCTGCATACTAAATATGTCTACCCATGCGAGAAAATGAAAAGAACATTATTTTCTTTATTCCTCTCCTCTTTCATGTCTTCAATGAATCACCATTCCAAATAGAAGTAAAAATAAAACTTCTTTCCATACTGGGATTTGATACAATCCCACCACATTTTATAGCATCATTTTATCCATATGTGGTGCGATATTCACAGTATTTGTCATTATTGCTTTCGTTGCAGCTCGTCTTCTTAATAAACAAGCTGATCTGTAGGCCTGATTATATTCTTTCGATTGTTTTTACGTTATAGACCAAATAAAAGAATAAAATTTATAATAGGTCCGTTTAAATAAAATTTTAGCGATGATGTATTGAAGAAAGTAATTTGATCAATTGTGACGTTAAACGAAAGTACTTTTGAGAAAAAACGTTTGAGATATTCTGTATAAATATTACTTTCATGTGAAGAAACGAAAAATAACGCGCATCGCACATGTGATAAGGGACTATCGTATTACTACATATTTTTCGCGTGTGTCTCTTTTTCCATTTCTTCTCACTATTACAACATAATAGTCAATAAGGAACCTGTTTCGTTCCTTCTGACACGAACGTATCATGGACTCCTCACCTGTTTCACCATTCAATATTGATGGTTTGCCTAAATTTTTGTCGATGGTATATCATCATTTTCTTGAGGAAGCTACCTTCACATTTGCCGAACTTGATATAGCTGATCGACTTGCTGATGCTTCGCCCGATCGAGGCCTGACTGCACAAGAAATTATTGGCGATGATCGACCACAATGGAATAGTGATCTCTTATATCGCTTGTTACGTGCGTGCATTGATATAGGCATTATTGAACGAGTAAAGAATGGTGTGGATAATCAACATTTCGTACTCACTCCATCAGGCCGAATGCTTACGTCGAATCATCCATCACACGTTCATGATCTTGTTCGTTTGTATTTCACACCAAACTCTATAATTACGGGAGCTCAGTTACCGAGACTCATTCGTGGTGAATGTAAAGGTACTGGTTTTGCTGAGATTTCAAATGGGTCTGGAATTTTTCACATTTCTAACTCAGCCTGAGAATCAGCACTGTCAAAATCTATTTAATGGAGCTATGACTTGTTTTACAGCTTATAGCGGTGAAAAATTGGCTGCAGGTGTCGATTTTGGTCGCTATCAAACGTTAGTAGATTTGGGGGGAAATCGTGGTACATTTCTCGCTCTAATCTTGGAATATCATCCAAATATTCAACAAGGAATTGTATTTGATTTACCAAATATCGTCGCTGCTAGCAAAAATGCCGAAGATTTTAAATCACGTAAAATTCCAACAGACAAGTACACATTTATTGCCGGCGATATGTTCGATTCATCGACAATACCTCAAGCCGATGCCTATGTACTTAAAAGTATATGTCATGATCATAACGATGAACAAGCAGTGGCTATACTTTTATCGATTCGCAAAGCAAATGAAAATCGAAAAGGCCCACCAGTAACTATATTCATTATTGACCATGTCATTTTGGATGATGAAACGATGAATAATTGGCAAACGAATGGCATAGATTTGTCACTAGCTTGCCTTTTTAATAATACTCGAGAACGAACACTAAAAGAATTTCAAATTTTACTTGAGAAAGCTGGCTTTGAGTTTAAAAAATTCCATCCAATTGCCTTACCCAGATCAACTATTGAAGCTATATTTGTCTAGTAGAACAATTTGAATTTTCTTCTTGAAATATTATATCAATGTTATACAGCGGAGCCAGCTATTTTTCATAATTAATTTTTCTTACTTTTAGCTATGAATAAACAATTTTAGATTGAAATCGAAGTTATCACACAGATATTTTACCATTTAGTGAACTCAAAGGAACTTCAATTTTAGTAGATTAAGACAAGGACTAATCTATTCTTTTTCAACCTTTAGGCGACAATCTCACAGGGATATTTGAATGGTAACAGATAGAAATAGGTTCATAATTTCTGTCACTTTGCACATTTTTGTTAATAGACGGAATGACTTAATTATTTTGTTTTTGATTCATACTTCATTTTTGTACGCTCAAATAGGTAAAAAAATGTACATACTTTCCCGATCTCCGGAAGGTTTTCATACAGACTCTAGAAAACGTTTTCTTGGAAACATAAGCTTTTTTCTGAATTCTCTAAAAGCCACCCTTACTTGAACCTTTTTAAAGAAAACTTTTTATTATGAAACCTAGTGAACGGCACATTATCTGACGTAGTTTTATGTCAAGATCGTGAGTCTGAAATCTATGACGAATGAACTGAACCCCGTCGACTTGGACTCAAAAAAACGTTTCAGTAGAATACCATTGTTTTATCCGTTCAAGAATAGATCGATCACTTTCCGGTGTAATTCGTGTTGGATGACCTATGCTAGATTTTGACGATTTTCATTTGTACCGGTCAGCAGTTTATTCCATTTTTCCTTGTATCAGTTTACAATGAAACTTACTTAATTTCGTCTTATAAATCAATTAGATCAGTGAAGTAATCCACGTGAAACTTCTGGAATAAAGAAATATCCGACTAGATGATGGCTGGAGATCTCCAGTGTAATCTCACTATTGAAAGGGGTGGGGTATTGTAACGTTGAGGAAATGCATGGAGAATTCTATTTTTTGCTTCATCACTGTTTCTTTTATTTGTTATGTTTCAATTATTTTGTTGGCAATACTCTAGAAATATATCTAAAACTAATTTAGTTTGACTTAATTGCAATGATAAAAAGAAGAGGCATGCTTGATTCTTTTGCATTCTTGCGTGTTCCCAAATATAGCAGTCAAGCTATGTTTTGGTCGAAGAAAAAAAGCTTTTTGACCAACGAAATTAAAATATTTTAAAAGCAAAATATATCGAAATATTCTTCTGATCACGCGGAATCGAATGGTACTATTTTTATTGAAAACAGATCTGGTTTTCACCTTCATCTGCACCACAGAGCAAACTGAATGGTCTGGCATTCACTGAACGATGGGCAAGAGCTCCCTCGTTTTGAACAATAAACTGAAAATTCTTTTGGTCTATTCGATTTCTCAGACTATCAGCTATACAATGGTGCAGAAATATTTCGAGAAGTTTAAGAATAAGGACAGGATATATGGCTTTCACTTTTGTATAAAGAGATAGTTATAAATCGGACTTGCATCCAAAAAGTTTCGAAGCCAGCACCATTAGTTAAGATCTTATTATAAGTGCAGAGATATATGCGGTAATTCTGACGGTGAATAAGATCTGGTTAGTAGTTATGTTCACTTGAACTAATATGATAGAACTTTACTTAAATGGTTCACAAATCTCTGTTTTTGAAACGAATCTCTCAAATAAATCGGAAGCGAATGTTTCATCTTTTCATTTGTTTTTGCCGACTTTGCGTTGCTCATCGTTACTAAATAATTCGAAAAAAGATTACTGAATCTTATTTCAAGAAAGGAACGCATTTTACTTAATTTTTCTTCAATAACTTCAGGCCAATTGTCATCATCCATATAGGGCAGTTTCATCATTTCATCACCAATTTTATAGTCGCTGAGTATCTCTTCTTTGATATGCTGATCATAGAATTAAACATCAAATCAATGTAAGGTAATTATGTTAACCAACTGTTTATTAGTCGCAGAGGCGATTTACTATAGTATCTCATTTACTCGACACTCTAAGAGTTAACATTTATTGCATAAATTGAGTGTAACGAACGTATTGAGCTATGCTTTGGAGGTCATTATTAAGTAATAAAATGTTAACTTAACTAAAATGCACTTGGAGAGAATCAAACACAATTCTAAGTATTTTGAACCTGAAATACAATGTATTAAATGTAAAAAATTACTTCACGGTATTTTCTTTTGTATATATTTTGTTTTTCATTTGATCTGACTAAACATTATTTAAAAGCTCTAGAAGTATGTATACTGTATATTGAAGAATATTGGCAAGACGGTTATGCATGTCCTGATTGTTTACCAAACGATGTACGACATACTCCACAAACGATTCATCGGGCTTATAAATTACAAACAACACATTATTGCAAAATCGACATTTTTTACGCTGAACAGAATCGGTCCAAATTTTCCAAATCATTTTTCGCATTTTGGCGCGAACAGTGACACCACTG